CGCGACAATTCCGGGGGCGGAGCCACCTCCCCCCACGCACAAGCAGCACCGTTACCATCTCCGGCGCAGAGTATAAATACCGCACGCACCGCCGATAACCTCCCAGTGTTCGAAGTGTTTTCGGATTCCAGTCGGATGCAGGATTTGCAGGATTCCAGTCGGAGTTCAACGAGCGAACGGATGATATCCCGGAATATAGTGTAATATAATTATATATATATATATATATATATATATATATATATATATATATATATATATATATATATATATATATATATATATATATATATATATATATATATATATGTATTGGTGATATTTACCGGACCGCAAGGTGGATCTTAGATGAGGGTCAGCTCAAAAATATTTATTTATTTATTTATTTACGGTTTAAACAATTTACAAAACTTTTACATTCATTAAAGGCAAAGAGAGAAAGACATCAGTATAACAACTACAAACCAGAACAAAATGTAACAATAACAATAAATAGAAATAAGTGGCAGCACTCAAACGGAACACATCGCAACGAAATGAGCGGAGGCTGCCGACAAAAAGCTTTAAACAGTTGCAGGCCTTCAGCATTCTAGTAAGGAGTGAATAAACTCCATAATTGGTAAGGTATGCGGAACATTGAATTATCACAGCTTCTGTAATCCTATGTAAAAGAGCTGGACAATAATACCAACCATTCGGAATCTTAAAGAGAAAAACTAAATCACTCTGGTTTGAAGAGTATCAACATTGAAGCCCTTAGCTGTAGTTGATCTGATACCCATTATGGATATTGATATGCGCCTTTGAAGTCAAAGATCTTAAAAATACTTTCTGAACGGCTTCGATGTTATATGTTATATGGCAGGCATAATATGGAGACCATACCACAGATGCATACTCTAGTCTAGAGTAGAATTTAGTAGAGTTTAAGGCAATGTGGAGTAAGTTGGCCACTATTGCGTACAACAAACCCAAGGACTCGCATAGACCTATTTACTAATTCCGCAAAAAAAAAAGGTTTAGAATCGAAACACCCAAGTCTTTAATACTAGTGACGGCCTCGATCTCGATTGCATCAATGCTATATTGATTGTGAACCATACTCAACGAACGACAAAAGCTAATAACTACAGCATTTCTTTACATTGAACGCGAGACTATTAATCTTAGACCACATGCAAACACTGTCCACGTCTCTCTGAATGAATATCTTCAAATCATCCGCAAACAAAAGACACTGCGATCCCGAAACTACACTAGCAATATTAATATCAATATCAATATCATATTTTCAGGAAAGGTTTTGGAATGGGTAGATGTGAAATTTCAAGTTCGATACAAACCGTATCTTCTAAATATATTTAACCGAAGTCAATTAAAATGAACGTAGTCAGCAAGACCACGCTGCGCATGCGGCAGCATTCTGTGTCCGATAATATTGCCGTTTTAACCCACATTACTAACAACTAATGGTAATGCGTGTACGCTGTCAGTGATATGTTAATTTGATTTACGTCGAGAGTTGAACTCCTTTTGTAGTCGGACGAGCTGCCATTTTTCACGCCGATAACATCGCAGCTATTCAGTACATCGGTTAAAACGGACATTACCGTGTAATCGGCGTGAATAATAAATTAGACTGTAAGTCAACTTGTCTCCGAAGTATATGGAGGATCTTCATTTCGTTTTCAATGCCGCATGGCAAAATACTTGCGGTTGCGGTTCTAAGGACGTTAAATATAATGTTGGCAAGCATGGCGTAGAACGATATCACGAGATATATGGGACAACTTTTATCAAAATAGATTGACTGGTAAAGTCACAATTTCCAAGTATAAGTTTATTATTTTAAACTACAAATTATACATGCCACAGCAAATTCCAAAATACGAATAGTAAATATGTGTCCTTCCTAAACAAAAACATTTATGGCTCAATAAAAGAGACACCGTAATTAGAAATAGGGACGAGGAAAAGAAATGAGAAAGGAAGAGAAGAGAACATTTTTTATATTTGTTAGATGTAAAACCAATCTGTCAGGAAAAACATACTTTACTTGGTTAGGTACCGGGTTGTCCCATTTTGCGTGCTTTTGCGAGGTAGATAGGCAGTTCCGGTTCTCGCGGCAGTTTACTGCTTTTCGTTTTCAAGGTACACAACTAGCTATCATATATCTTATAGGAAATGTGAAAACTGCCTCTTGGATAACGTTTTACGTAAAACTCAATTTCGCCTTCGCAATTGGTATAAAGGGCTAGGTTAAAAAGTTATCGGACGTTATTTTTTTTAAATAAAATTTGTTTTCTTTAACTTCTCAAAAGTATATAATAGTATGCCCTTTGTCTCAAGCGACAGGCAAATAAATGACAATTTTACCAAAGAAATGCTTACCTTAATATAGGGCCATTAAAACATTAGTATACAATTAAACGCTAGATATTGCTAACAAGAGTTTTTGAAATTTTATAATAATAGTAACACAAAAAACTACATTAATAAAAAAGAAGAAAGATACAAATTTTTAAAGCAAATGTTCAAACTGATGACCATATCCGCTAATGAAAAATTGAAACATTTGTATAATCCTTTGAATAGCGATTTTTCGAAAGGCTAAATTAAAGTTCTTTACTTGCTGTAGGTAATAGTATATTTTGAATCAAGTGTGGTAAACGGCATTTGACTCAAGCGTTTATTTGACACGAGCGGAGCCCATCGGAGCGAGTGTTTAATGAACTAGTGATTTAAAAAATCTACCGAATATGTTGCATACTATACTTGTTCTACAACAGTTAGTTTTTGGGTATATTTTCGCAAAATAACAAGAATAAATTCACTGACATGATCGTCCGAATTGCCAAACGTCAAAATTCAATTTGTGGGAAATATTCTCGAAAGCATCCGATGCTCCCGAACTCTTGCAGTAAAATCCCGGAAATATCCGAAGTGGCTCGGATCCGTGGCAAATGAAACGGACGTGGTAAAGTGACGCTTCCCGCACGCTATATCGGTGTGTAATTAGCTATTTTACAGACGGGAGTAGAAAAAAAAGTTTACCAAACGTGTTGCATACTATACTTTTTTTTACGATAGTTAGTTTTTGCATGCATCTTTGTACAACAACACAAATTCACTGGCATGACGGTCAGAATTGAGAAACGTCAAAATTCAAGCCTTGCGGTAATACCTCCAAAAAACCTCCGATTTCTCCCAAACTCGTGCTTTAATATTCCGGGAATGTCCTACAATATATTGTGCAAGGTATGTTTCTAGGTATCTTCTGTCAGACCTCCTTCAAAACTTCCATATACTATATGTCTGAAGAAAATAAAACACGACACCCCAACTGCAAAACCTCTTTGCATTGCAAGCATTAAAAGCTGATTCCAACTACGGCATAATTTGGATGAATGATACTTACATTTCTTCAAGATCCTCTGTTTTTTTTCTTTCCTTGTTCTCTTTGTTGAACTAAATTTGCTCTTAAATTTTGTCAACGACGTCTTTACTTTGAGGAAAAAGTAGTACACTGTCCCGAGAACTATAGCTTCCTAGCTATGAAAATAAATGAGATTCCCTACAGTGGTACCCAAAATACTGTACAGTTAGCAAATGAAACATATTATCAAACAACCTCGATGCTATATTTTTATTGATTTGTGTATAAACGATGTTTTTTGATACCTGAAAAAATAATTTTGGTACGTCCTTAAAACAGATAATTTGGGTCAGAAGTATGGGATGTGAGAATAAAAGAAAATTTTCGGCCACAGAAATGCATTTTCTACGAAGCTGTCTGATATCGAAACTCTAGCGGATCAGACGTAGCATGAACACCGAGACAAACACTATTGACTTGGTTCGGTAAAAAGAATGGATGGGACGAGATGAGAAGACCAAGGAGAAGTTGGAGGAATGACCTTGTTATGATAGGAAAAATTGCAAACTGGGAGAGGCGGCGACAGCTATAGATGCAGATGCAAAAGACAGACTGCATTGAGAAACAATATCTGTAATGACAAATATTGATGAAATGAGCGGGCGTTTGCGGATTCCATAAAAACCAGAGGAAAATAAAGTTATTTTAGAACTTCACTTGATTTAAAGGACCTGGCGTTTCAAATGGTCCAACATTGTACCAAGTAAAGAAAGTTTTAGGTTTATATGATTAACGAAGCTGAGCTTTCGAACAAAATCCCATTATTGGAATAATCATAGGCATTATGACCTGCTTTTCTCGTAAATATAAAAACTTAACGTATATCCACATTTAATTCAAGTAGTTTCTGCGTCATCATGCTAAAATGTTTAGTTGATTTTTTCGCATCTTTATTCGGTCGAATGCAAACAATTTAGTTTGGTCCAATAAAATTTGATGTCCAGTTTCATAATTATGATCGGACAATTGGTAAATCTGGTTTTACTTTATGAACTTTTGATATGTGGTCAGGAATGTTTTGAATATAAGGCAGCACCGCTGATGAAGTGTAATTTGTAATGGAACGCCTAGTATCTGTATTTCTCTCAAATGTCGAAATCATTTGAGAGAAAAGCAGATGTTAGGTGCCTTATTTCATGGTCTGTAAAGAAAGGTTTGATAACCGATAACTTCTGGGAGGATGGTCATTCAATTCAATAGGGCCTGGTGCGTAGGTTTTCTGTAAACTGAATGACTGAATGTTAGATATGATTTACTAATAATAAGAGTATCTATTGGACTTGATGAGGTTACGAAAAATAACATTTAGCAATTGCAAATATCGATTCGGCATTATCCTGTATATTAAGCTCTAAGCTGCTGGTACATTGGTGATCCACCATTTTGGCAAATAGTAAATTTCCTAAAAACTAGCTGACGGTGGCGACCTTTAAACAATGAAACCACTTATCTCGAACTCCCCGTCAGTCTGGACGTCTTTTTCTTCGCAACAATGTTGAGAGCTGCGTGATTTATACGTGACAGGTCAAGTGTCAGTTTTTAGGTTTTCCGTTCGTATCGCGGAACGGGGGACATGCTTTTAAGTTTTTATTCGTGTGCCGTTTGGACTTTAAGTGTTTGTTTTTGTATCGGTAAAAGCGACGGCGGAGATACTCTCGACGGTAAGGCTTTAACAATAATAGCGTCCGTTCCATAAATCCTTTGCGAGTACTTTAGGGCTATGACGCTCTCCAGAGCGATTTTAAATAATTCGGCCATGCAAATATGTTTTCAGAGAAGTCGTCTCTGCTACTCAGTCGGTTTTCACATATTACAAGCATTTGCTATTCAACTGGCTGTTGACCGGAAAGTCACTTAAATATTGCGTAAAAAATGGGCCAACTCCTGAAAATATTTGTCGATAGGCGTTGGTAGAGTCCGTGTCACAAGAGTTGGTAGTTAATTATGTCAAGGCTCACCCTCGGGTCTGTAGCAATAATTTATAAAAATCCTTTACAAGACGCATTTGGAAGATTCACAACTAAGTGGCATTGCAATCCAATAATATTTTTTGTTACCTAAATTAACTTGTCCCCGAAGCAAAACTTTTTAATTTTAGCGGACTTTTGACGTACAGGGTAGTCGCATTTGGGGTGTTTTAACAGGAAAAACTATTTTCTGAACTAGGCAGGGCAAAATCGACTTACATCTTCACTACTAATCGAGATGTAGGTCCTTGTGAAAATTGGCCATAACCATTTTGTCTATGACAATTCTGGACCCGAATACAAACATTATTAGCTCAGATCTTTTCTATAGTTTTTCGTTTTCTCATAAATGAATGTATCTTTCTTATATTATATGGCAATAATAGTTGGTTATGGTCTTAAAAAAATGCCCGTTTCGAGCCCTTTTTAGCGACATAGCCATTGCCATAGCATAATTTAAAAGAACTTGTGAAAAACACGAAACCTAAGAACGATTTAATATTTCAATTTTAATTTTAGATGCTATGCTATTTAATTAATTTTAATTTATTAATTAAAAAAATTGTCGTACTTAATGGCAACTATTCATTAACTCTATAGGATTGATGGAAGCAAACGTTTCTCAAGTGGCTTCCTCCAACTGTGCTTTGGTTTGGAAAATTCTATCTTTAAATAAAAGATTTTTTAATCTTCTCCGTACAAAAAATCTAGAGGTGTTAGATCACACGATCTCGCAGGCCACTGGTTCCAATCCAATATTGGCCAAACTCTTCAATTAAAAGTTCACTTACAATCTGTGCGTTGTGAGCGGTGAAGCATCTTGCTGATAATAAATTCTCGTTCCAAGAGTTAATGGCGTCTTCCAAAAATGGAATAACACATGTTCGAAAAATATTTGTATTACCAACCGCTATCAGATTTTCATTAAAAAATTAGGTCCCACAAATCTACCTTGCAAATTTCTACTCAAAGCGACCTTGCCGATTTTGATACATTAAGCATGAGAATTTTCTGCAGCGATAAGAATTGAATCTGTTAAATATTCCGGCAGGCAATGGAAAATTAACGTTCTCATTGCATTTCCGATAAACCAGTTGCATGCATAATTTTATTCTTTTACCGGCATCCCCCTAATACAAATGGTGGACTTTTCTGGTTGGATGTGGCTTGAATTTATGCTTTTTTAAGGCAGTCAAAACTTCACTTTTTCCAACATTTGTTGAGTCAGCTAGTGCTCGCGAGGATATGCCTAAATTTTCCAATACTTTTCCAATTATATTCAATTCCCGAATTTCTTGTTCTTCATTTAAGTGGTTTTGATTTTGCCTCGGCTTTTTAAAACTTCCGTTATTGGTTCAATTATTTTTTAACGTCCGAAATATTCGCTTGCCTGGATGGTGCCGCTATTGATATGTATTAAAATAAAGTTCATTTACTGCCTCTGCCTTGATATAACTTTAATTCACTATTGACATTTTCATCACATACTGGCTATGTGGCTAAAAAGGGCTCGACACATTTTTTAAGACCATATCTAGCTTTGATTGCTATGTAACATAAGAAATTAGTATTCATTTATGAGAAAACCGGCAACTGTAGACAAAGATATGACTATGCCACATTATTTTCTTTTAAAAAATGACTTAATGTTTTTACTCGAATTCAAATTTCTAGTTCAGAAATAGGTTTCTCCTGCTTAAACACACCAATTACGACCATCTTATACGTATACGTATTATAAGTACGCCAACTTATTATGAGCTTACAATTTCGCAGCAGTCTATCTAAAACTTTTATGTAGATTTAGATAACCAACGATTTTTTCGCCAGCTCACACAATCAAGACTTCGAACGGTCAAATCGTTGATGATTCAGTTAAAAAAAAAGTTCTCTGCGTGAAATTCCACTCAAGATTTATAAAATATACATGGTGAATTTAACACGCGATCTAGTGTATCTCTCTCCTTCCTTCCTCCCCCTTCCTCCCCCTCCCCTCTCCCCCCCCTTCCTCTTATGTTTTTTTTATTTTAATTATAAATCTTGCAGTTTCCGCATATTGTTTTAAAACTTATTATGTATAATTACATTACCCTGTCTTGTAAATGAAATCGGAATAGTAGTCGAAAAAGAGGGGGTTGTCTTTGTGTATTGTATTTTTTCATCAATAAGGCGCAATAGTCTAGTGAAAACCGCATCTCAAGGTCTTTAACCTAGCCTAAAATATAACTCATAGGTTCAAATTACTACGTTTTGATATCCTTGCCGTTTTCAATGATCGCAAATATTTTCATTAACAGTTAGGTTTAGTCAACTGATACAGTATTGACACCAATTATATCAATTATAATTTTTTTTTAAAGAAATGTATTGGACAAAATTATTTTTTTTTGCAATTATTTTAGAAAACACCACCTGGTGGCAAGATAAGCAATCAAAATTCCGCCACATATAGGACCAGTAGAGTCTTAAACTTCATATATAACGATAAGATTTCCTTCATTTTTTTGTTAATATCAGGGACCTTTGTATGGGTGGAACTTTTATAAAAATGCATTAGACATTTCAGACATAATGTTAAGACATTTTAACTAAAAAAGAAAAAAGAAAGCGATACAAGATTCTTTTATTTAAACTTTGGATTATCTTTTCGCCACCTATATCAACTAGTAAAGCTTTTTGTGATGCGTAAAAAATGTCGATCAACTAAATTTTAGTTACGTCATCGCCAAGAATTACATTCTACTATGCGGATTGCTTTGTACTTTCCATCGCCAATTTCAACGCTCTCAACTAAATCAACTTATACTTTCTTTAGGCAAAATTCATATGCTGCAAGGTTTTTCATTGTGAATTTTTGAAAGAAACTTCCACAGGCTACTGTAATACATTTTACAAAACTTCTGGATTCCTCCTGCGTTGGTTTTTGTTGAGTCGAACTTGCTAATGTTTCGCCAATCGTCCTGCTGGCTTCGTCGGAGCTTGACTGAAACTGGCTACTCTGTGCCTGCTTGTGGGAGGAGCTAAATGAGGGGCATAAACAACGCATCGGATGACTAGTTGGTTAAGATTGGTAAGTTGTTTATAGATATCTATCGACCCTCCGATTTTTCGTTGGTAGAAGAATTGATTACATGCAAGGATTTTAGTTTTATCTAATAAAATTTTATGTCCGGTTTTGGTAATTGTGCGCTGATGAGTATATTTGTCTAATTATTAAGGTTCTTTCATGTTCTTTGAACCTAGTTGATATTTATCGTTCGGTTTCTTCAATATATTCTTTCCCGCATATGGATCGAAGATGTTGAGAGATTTTCGGACAAGTTGTAAATCTGGTTTTGACGTTATATTTCTTTAGAACTTTGGATATGTGGTCAGTGATGTTTTGAATATAAGAAAGGACAAGAGTGGATAGTGTGAAATTGCTTTCGGCCTTATTGCTATTGGAAGATTGTGGTGAAGTATCATCGACGCAGCGTTTCCATAATTTTGGTTTTAGATGGAATGGAAGGGGTCGAGAGCTTTCTTCTCAAAGGCTTCGATAAATATATTCACCATAACTGGTGATAATGGAGAACTCATTGTTGTTGACGACGGTTGTTCAAAAATTTGACGGTTGTAAGAAAATATACATTCCAGACAAGCATTTTTCAATTAAGTTTTAGGAATAAGGACTTTAGTAAAGAAGGATTCTATGTCGAAACTAACCAGAATATCTTGAGTATCTAATCTAATGCTTTATAATTGTTCAATGAAGTGAAAGGAATTAAGGAAAGGGTTTTAATAAGGAAGCTAGTAATTTTGCTAGATGATAGAACCAATGGTACTGACAATAGATCGAAGGGGTAATCCTGGTTTGTTTATCTTTGGGAGTCCGTAGAAACAAACTATTTCACGGAGTCTGATAGGGAAGAAGCCTTAATAACAGATGCATTCCACAGATGACAAGGATCTTTTTTAAGTTGACGATATGATCCGCCGGTAAGAATATCTCGAATCTTTTCCTGATGTTCATTTATGTTGATGAGCTTTATCTGCTTTTAGGATTACGATGTCGGGATTGGATTTTAGGGCAATGCGTTCGGGCTTTGCAATATTAGATTTAGAAGGATTTGATTTTTTAAGGATTTTTGCGGTTTCAATTTCAGAATTTCAGTAAAGCTCTGAAGAACCCAACCGGATGACTGGCAAAACGTTAGCAAGTTCGACTCAACAAAAACTGATGCAGTGATGTCAAAAGTTTTCCATGGTGGTTTTCCACATATTTTTTTCTTCGAATCTCATATTTCGTTTTTTTTGGTAGGTTCTCCTTGCCTTCCTGTTTTCCTCGTACTCTTTACCACTTAAATTCGCTAGTACTGAACAGAATCTCTGTTTTTATTACCTCGCACCATCAGGGGGATCAATTGCCACCAATACATTTTTATATCATGCGTAGCACGAGTGTGCACGGATTTTGTCGGGCGGCCAAGTTAAAGCAGTAAAAAAATTTTGACAGTTGTTTCGTTTATCCGGTGTTTTTATTCTCGGCTGGTACCATGCGAAGCTTGGTCGATCTCTTGGCCTTATTTAAACAGCGGAGCGAGGAAAAAAAAACGAATTATCGATACAATAGATCTCGACCATTGTGGCAATCCTCGGTCATCGAGATCAAGATCGCCTTGAGTTCGGTTTATCTGACGGACAGCACAAAAGAG